GATTATCCTGCCTCAGCCTCCAGAGTGGCTGGGATTACAGGCATATGCCACCACACCCACCTAATTTTGTATTTTTAGTAGAGAAGGGTTTTCTCCATGTTGGCAAGGCTGGTCATGAACTCCTGACCTCAGGTGATCCGCCCGCCTCCGCCTCCCAAGTGCTAGGATTACAGGCGCGAGCCACTGTGCCTGGCCAGAATTTTTAATCTTAATATGCATGAGTCATGTTCTTACTTTCATTATCATCAGAAGCTTTGAGGTATCTGACCTTATAAGACAAGATGCCTTTAAACATAGATGAATAGTTCTCAGTGATAAGGTATCATACATTGTTTATGGTCATACAAGAGTGTATTTGTTTCCAAAACAGAAAATTATGACAGGCCCTGACAAATAACTTTACTGGGAAAGTTGTGAAACCATTGTAACCCTTGTAGTGAAACCTAGCAACAACATCATCAAAAACTTTTGACTCACTTGTAAGCTTATGTACAAATAAGCTTAAATGAAAAGTTAGCAAATTTAAACGTATAGTATTTTAAAAATATATAGTATTATCTGCTACAAATAGGTTTTATGCTAGAAATCCAGTTATATGAAAATCAAAAGAATTTTATAAAATTCAACCTATATTTCTGGAAAAAATGAATCTTTAAAAATGAAAAGGAAATGGAGGACATAATCTTTATTCATATCAGTGACAACATCATAGTTAACGATATTCTGTTTCCTATAAAATCAGAAACTTTGGATAAAGCCAATGAAGTAAAACATAAAATAGATATAAACCAACAACAGCCAAAAAGATGGTAAAGGAGAATATAAATTTATAATGAATTTCAGATAATATGGTCATTTGTCAGAATAAAGAAATAAGAATAGCTAACATTGAGCAATTAATATGTCTTACACTGCATGAGGCGATTTACATATATTGGCCCATTATTATACCAAATCCTATGAAATAGGTATTGTTACTTTTTCCCATTTTACATTTTACAGGTTGGGAAACTGAGGCATGGGGCAATTAAATAACTTCCTTGAGGTCATATAAGTAGACATATTAGGAGTCTAACTTAAACAGTCCTCTTTAACAGAAAATATGTGAGAATCAACTGAAGTACTGTTACATATACATGGATCTTAGTAAATGTTGAAGAAGCTTTCACAATACTCAACATCATTCTTTATACAAACTCACAGCAAACTAAAAATAGAAATTGTTTATTTGAAAAAGAATATTAGAAACCAGCAGTAAACATCATATTTTAAATCACTAAACATTTCCAGGATCCCATTAATGTTAGGAATAAGAGAGTAATGCCTCATGATCACTGCTGTTTAACGTTGCTTGGGAGGTTCTGAGTATTGCAGAAGACAAGATGAAAAAAAGTGGTATAATATAAAAGGAGAAATGAAACAGTTGTTTACCAAAAATAAATAATCCAAAATTCTAGAGAACTAAGAAATTTTTCCCCTATGCTTCAGCAATTACTACTGCAAAATGAAGTAGTGAAAACAACTCATTTACAATAGGAACAAAACTGTAAAGTACTTAGAAGTGAACCCAATGAAGTAAGTTAGGAAACTTTATTGAATGTCATAAAAGAAGAGTTGAGTTTTCTATTTTCTAAGACTATTTACAGCAGCATAGAATATTTATTGAATGAAAGATACAGTATTATAAAGATTTCATTCTCCTCAAAATAACTTACAAATTTAATACAGTTCTAATCAAAATGCCAAGAGTATTTTCTTAAATCTTAACAGATATATATATTCTAAAGTTCATCCGAAACTTTAGGTATCAGATTGGTAAAAGTAGTCAGGAAAAGCTTGAACAAAAAGAAAAAATGAAAAATATACCCTTTCCTAGCATCAGAATACACTGTTAAACTTCATTATTTAAAATAGTATAGTACTTTTATAGGAAGAAAAAATTATTTCTATGGAACAGACTATACAGTTCAGAAATAGACTTGTGTATGTGAATATCAGTTGGAAAAAATTTAGGATTCAATAAACTATAAACTTGGCTGTTTGGTATCCATTTAGAAAAAGGTTTAATCACTGGATCATACAATACACAAAGTTATTACAGATAAACTACTTCAGTGGAAACCATAAAAAGTCAACTGCCTCCTAGGATTTTTTTAAGATTTTGGTGGTTTTCCTTTCTAAGCATAATAAAACAGATACAAGCATAAAGGAAAAACTTGACATACTTATACAGATTGAAAACTTGGATATATTAGAAGTCATGAAATCAAAAGTGAAGTTAAAAAAGGGAACAAATATTTTTAGCATGTACAACAAATACTAATGCCAATGCTCTATTGCAAAAGGCAAAAACAGGAACTGACAAAAGGAGAAACATAAATGTCCAGTAAATATTTTGCTTTAAGTTATTCTGATCCTTACATTTATGTAAGAATTGCTAGAAGTGATTCTTGAAATACTTTTAAAAAGACACACAAGACGTTGATTCCTAGGCTCCTTTCTAGGTGTTCACTCAAGATTTTCTGGGATGATGAATCTTCTACACTGTAACATATGGAAGACACTTCAGTAGACCATTGGTTCCGTGATGGAGGAACCTGTTTTGTTTCATTTCCACTGTATACCTAATACCTGCTCCAGTGGTTGCTACATAGTAGGTACTCAATAAATATTTAATGAATAAGTAACAGGAAATTTTTGAAAATATGTTCGGCTTTACTATAATTTTTTAAAAAGCCAAATAAAATATCCATGTGAGCCTTACTTGTAAAGATAGAAAACCAATTTTGGCAAGGGCAATAAGAAAATGGTGCATTACTGTTCATTTCTGTGTATGATGTGTCACAAAGAGATACTACCCCAAATGCATTAGGATGGCTATGATTACTCTTTTCTTACTCTGTCGCCCAGGGTGGAGTTCAGTGCCAGGATCACAGCTCACTGCAGTCTTGACCTCCCAGGCTCAAGCGATCCTCCCACCTCAGCCTCCCAAGTAGCCAAAACTACAGGTGCGTGCCATCACACCTGGTTAATTTTTGTATTTTTTGTAGAGACAAGGTCTTGCTATGTTGCCCAGGCTGGTCTTGAACTCCTGGGCTCAAGTAATCTGCCTGCCTCGGCCTCCCACAGTGCTGGAATTACAGGCATGGGCCGCGATACCCAGCAGGATGGCTATTATTAAAAATAGTTTTAGTGCCTACATTCAGGTCTTTGATCCATTTTGAATCAATCTTTGTATTTAAGTAAGATAAGGATACGTCTTCGCTCCTTTGCTTGTCGATACCCAGTTTTTTCCAGCACCATTTGTTGAAGACCGGCCTTTCCCCATTAACTGGACTCAGTCCTCTTGTTGAAAATAATTTGGCCGTATATGTGAGAGTTTATTTCTGGGCTCTCTGTTCTGTTCCATTGTTCTTTAGGTTTTTATGCCAGTACCACAGTTTTGATTACTGTAACTTTGTAGTAACTTGAAATCAGGAAATATTAATCATCTTTGTTCAAGATGGTTTTGGCTATTTGGGGTCTCTTGAGTTTCCATATGAATTCTAGGATGGGTTTTTCTGTTTTTGCAAAAAATGCCATCAAGATTTGATGCATTGAATCTGTAGATTGCTTTGGTTAGTAATGTCTTTTCAAGAATGTTAAATCTTTCAACCCACAAACATGGGATGTCTTTCCAGTAATTTATGTCTTCAATTTCTTATAGCAGTATCTTACAGTTTTCTGTGTACCAGTCTTTCACTACTTTAGTGAAATTTAATCCCATCATTTTATCCTTGTTCTATTCATTAAAAATGAGTCATCAGGTCCAGCCCACACTCAAGGATGGGATTATGCAAGGGCAGGAATACCAGGAGGTGAGGTCATTAGTGGTCTCCTTAGCAGGTATCTACCACAATTGTTTAATTCCTGAATCCTTAGGAGAGAACAATGATCTGCCCAGTTTCTCTCCTTTAGTAGTTTGCAGCCAATATATTGGTTTCTCTTGAGTTAGGTATCTACTGCTATCCAAAAGCTAAGGACCTGGGTACAGCATTATAACATAGCAGATTTTCTCAAAAAGAGGTTATATAAGACATATAATAGTTTCTCCATTCCACTATCTCACTTCCTTTCCCTGTGAGTAATTCTTGTGTTTATCATAAATTAAAGTAGTGTTTGGTTTTCTTTTTCAGAGCTGTAGTGCAAGTGCCCTACAGGCAAGATTGAAAGTAGCTGCACATGAAGCTGAGGAAGAATCTGATAATATTGCAGAAGACTTCTTGGAGGGAAAAATGGAAATAGATGATTTTCTCAGTAGCTTCATGGAAAAGAGAACAGTATGTAATACTCTTCAGTTGAGGACAAATATTGGATAAAGTCTGCTATTTTTATAGAGGAGGAGAAGCACTGGGTCTTAGCTATTTCTCTATTATATCATCCCCGTTTTTTGTACAATAGATTATTTACCTAAAAGGAAGGTTTCCATTCCTTGTGTGTGGACATGGGCAAAAACCAAGTTCCTGGAACTTAAAACTTTGAAGGTCTGTCATGGGACTCTAGACAGCCTCACGCCTTAGCTATTCCCAGGGAACCCAGGGGGACAGGCAACTGCCATTGCTCTAAGATGTCCTTTTGATGTGAGTTGGTATAAATGAGAGTAAGGGCCTGCACATGCGGCCGTTTTCCTGTCTGTCAGAGGAATAGTCCTGGTCAGAAAGGGGCTCTTCTGAGCAGAAATGACTAATAAACTTTGTGCTGATCTAGAAGAAAATAATTTTTTTTTGACAGCATAATATCAAATGACTTTAGCATACTCGTGAGTGAAAAACATTAGCACATTACTGAGCTGGAGTTTTGAGTGCTATGAAAGAAGTCTGAAAAGCCTCTTGAGAATAGCATCCTCCTCCTATCACTTCAGACTTGCTTTTTCTGAGTATACAAGCAGGTAAATCAAATAGTTCTGTTTCAGAAATGGTAGTATCTTTTACATTCTGTAATACAGCTGGTAAATCTAAGTCTAGTCTTAATAGTTGAAATCTACTCTTCAGTGATTTGTTTTACCACTCGTTTAGACATTTATCTATAGGGATTATAAAAGGCATTTGTATGAGAAACAGTTTCTGTTCTGTTCTAATATTTCTGTTGTGTTTAAAGAAAAATCCAAAAAAGTCTGCTTAATAGTTTCTTGCCTTTTAATACAGTCCAAACTGTTCACCTAATTTGTCTGAAATAATCACATTTTTAAAATAATCTTGTGTTAGTAAACTGTATGAAACAACTGTGACACACACACACACACACTCACACACTCACTCCTGTTAAGGCAGATGGGGGATGGTTTTTATCATTCCCATTTTTCATGAGAGGAAATTGAAGTTCAGAGATTTTAGTGACTTACCTATGGTTATAGTATTAGTAAGGCATTGATTTCTGGTCTGTTATTCTTTAATATTACATAATTGTGCCTTGAAGCTTGTATCTGTTAATCTTCTTGGTTAACAGTAGCAGAACTTATGTCCATACTTTTTAAACACAGATATTTAAAGTTATATAGTCAGATAATTGATATGAAGGATCAGTGTTTGTTTTACATGCTAGAGGCCAGCAGGCAAAGGCTGACTTCCAAGCAAGTGGTTTTTTTGTTTTGTTTTGTTTTTTTGATTATTAAATTCTGAGCTGTCAACATTCAGTTTGAATAGCTAATATTCATTAGCTATGTTCAACACTGAATTCTTAGATTATTAGCTAAATCAAAATGAATTGGTGTCATGTGGTCCTCTGCCCGGTCAGCTGGGCTGAGGGAGTGGATTATGGGAAGGGAGCATGAGAGGTTCCCTAAAACAGGGACTGGAGTGCAGGAAAGGAAATGATAGGCATTTCTCATGACCCGTTCAACCTGTTGCTTGCTCCTTGTAACATTAGTGTTAATGAAATGAATTAGCTCATAATCTAATAATTTTAGCTATTAGATTATTAGCGATCTTCAACATTCAAAACTTAAAATAATGCCAACAAGTTAGAAGATTCCTGTCATACTTTAGGAAGTAAAGTAGTGGGCATATCTTTGGAAAAGTGACCGGTATTTTTAAAAATTTATTTTCCAGATTTGCCACTGTAGAAGAGCCAAGGAAGAGAAACTTCAGCAGGCAATTGCAATGCACAGTCAATTCCACGCTCCACTATAGGTAAATTGTTTTTCAGGTTTGAGTCTCAAAGTTATTGCAACAGTTTCTTTAAATAGACATGTTGTCTGTGTCTATTTAAAGACATGTTGTCTATGTCTATTAAAATGGTGCCTGTTCATCAGCCTTAAGCATAATTCTATCATAATAGCTATTGTGCTCTGTAATGTAGAATGCTTTGTATTATATAATAGGCATAATATCAATATAACTGGTAGAAATCTTTTGGATATTTTCTATGATACTGGCATGAATGAAATTTTTTTAACATTAGCTCCTTATAAAGAATTGTAAGTTATAGTCAGTTCCTTTCTCTTACCTGATGTGTAGAATATGCCTCATTACGTGGCTAACGTTTCTCAGAAGGCTCCTTTGTCATTTCTTTCCTTAAAATGAACTTGCATTGGTCTCTTTTCCATCCCACACCACAATTACTCTAATAATTTGCCCATCTCCATGACTTAAGGGTTCTCCTTTCTATGTAGCACTTACAGAAATTCCTAAAATACCACTTTTATGATAAAATTTGCTCTACTCCAGAACCTGTAATGAACCCCTAGCAATGACAGTATCCATGTCAAATTCCTCTGGTTAAGATTTCCATAATTAGGCATATATTTCAGATTATCCATTTTAATTTTGCATTTCTCCTTACATTGCATTGTCTTACATGGCATGTTCTTCCTTCTACCACTGTATCTTAAGTTGTGCTCTTACCTGATGTCAAGATGCCTTTCCTTTTCTTCTGCATCTATGTTTTAGGAATGATTTGTTTGCAAGAATAGTTCCCACCCCAACAAACTTAAGTAGAAACTTAGTTATTGGATAGGGCAGAGATTTATTATAGAGTAAAACTGAAGGAAAGTACAGTCACCTGAGAGTGAAAACAGCCACTGAATGACCAAAGCAGCTCTTCTCACACCTGTTCTGAGGCTGCTTGTTTGCTTGTTTCTTATTTCTGCATCTCTTTTATTTTTCAAAATTTTTTTCTCTTACTTGCCCTTCACCCATTCCTACCCATAGGTTGATTATATTATCTGACAGTTCAGGCAGCCAGTGGAGATAAACAAGAGTCCCTGGAGTTCCAGTACATTCCCTGGGAAAGTAGCTGACCTGGTTTAGGCAAGCTATCCATCCTGGTGTAGTTAGTTTGGCCTGGAGATTGGTTTCTACTCCCTTAGTCGACTGGGCTGAGGGAGTGGATGAGAAGGGAGCATGAGAGGTTCCCTTAATAAAATGAGGACTGGTGTATAGGAAAGGAAATGACAGGCACTTCTCATATCAAGTTAAACTATTATCTGCTCCTTATAACATTAGTGCTCACAGTACATTGTTTTATATGTTATTTTCCAAATCAAACTATAAATTCCTTAAAGGTAGGGGCTGATTTTTGATAACAACTTTGCATTTCTGCCAGCTTAAGAAGAAGTAGACACAGAGCAGTTGCTCATTTATATGAACATACTAGAATTCGTTCCTTACCTCTATTCCCTCATAGTCAAGGTATAATTTTATAGGCAAGTCTATTCATTATTATTATACTTTAAGTTCTGGGATATATGTGCAGAACGTACAGGTTTGTTACATACATATACATGTGCCATGGTGGTTTGCTGCACCCATCAACCCGTCATCTACATCAGGTATTTCTCTTCATGCTATTCCTCCCCTCGTCCCCCAACCCCCAACAGTCCCTGGTGTGTGATGGTCCCCTCCCTGTGCCCATATGTTCTCATTCTTCAACTCCCACTTATGAGTGAGAACACATGGTGTTTGATTTTCTGTTCCTGTGTTGGTTTGCTGAGAATGATGGTTTCCAGCTTCGTCCATGTCCCTACAAAGGACAAGAACTCATTCTTTTTATGGCTGTATAGTATTCCATGGTGTATATGTGCAACATTTTCTTTATCCAGTCTCTCATTGATGTGCATTTGGGTTGGTTCCAAGTCTTTGCTATTGTGAATAATGCCACAGTAAACGTGTGTGCATGTGTCTTTATAGCAGGATGATTTATAATCCTTTGGGTATATACCCACTAATGGGATTGCTGGTTCAAATGGTATTTCTAGTTCTAGATCCTTGAGGAATCGCTACACTGTCTTCCACAATGGTTGAACTAATTTATACTCCTGCCAACAGTGTAAAAGTGTTCCTATTTCTCCGCATCCTCTCCAGCATCTGTTTTCTGACTTTTTAATGATCGCTATTCTAACAGGTGTGACATGGTATCTTATTGTAGTTTTGATTTGCATTTCTAGTGATGAATGATGATGAGCTTTTTTTTCCATGTTTTGTTTTGTTGGCCGCATAAATGTTTGGAAAGTGTCTGTTCATTCCTTTGCCCACTTTTTGATGGGGTCATTTGTTTTATTCTTGTAAATTTGTTTAAATTCCTTGTAGATTCTTGACATTAGCCCTTTGTCAGATGGATAGATTGCAAAAATTTTCTCCCATTCTGTAGGTTGCCTGTTCACTCTGATGATAGTTTCTTTTGTTGTGCAGAAGCTCTTTAATTTAATTAGATCCCATTTGTCAATTTGTCAAAAGCAGTTGCTTCTATGTCTTGAATGGTATTGCCTAGGTTTTTTTCTAGGGTTTTTATGGTTTTAGGTCTTACATTTAAATCTTTAATCCATCTTGAGTTAAATTTTGTATAAGGTGTAAGGAAGTGGTCCAGTTTCAGTTTTCTGCATATGGCTAGCCAGTTTTCCCAACACATTTAGTAAATAGGGAATTCTTTACCCATTGCTTGTTTTTGTCAGGTTTGTCAAAGATCACATGGTTGTAGATATGTGGTGTTATTTCTGAGGCCTCTGTTCTGTTCAGTTGATCTATATATCTGTTTAGGTACCAGTACCATGCTGTTTTGATTACTGTAGCCTTATAGTATAATTTGAAGTCAGGTATATTGATGCCTCCAGCTTTGTTCTTTTTGCTTAGGATTGCCTTGGCTATATGGGCCCTTTTTTGGTTCCACATGAACTTTAAAGTAGTTTTTTCTAATTTTGCGAAGAAAGTCTGGTAGCTAGATGGGAATAGCATTGAATCTATAAATTACTTTGGGCAGTATGGCCATTTTCACAATACTGATTCTTCCTATCAATGAGCATGTAATGTTTTTCCATTTGTTTGTGTCCTCTCTTATTTCCTTGAGCAGTGGTTTCCAGTTCTCTTTGAAGAAGTCCTTCAGAACATCCCTTGTAAGTTGTATTCCTAAGTATCTTATTCTCTTTGTAGCAGTTGTGAATGGGAGTTTGCTCATGATTTGGCTCTTTGTCTATTATTGGTTATAGGAATACTTGTGATTTTTGCACATTGATTTTGTATCCTGAGACTTTGCATAAGTTGCTGATCAGCTTAAGGAGATCTTGGGCTGAGATTATGGGGTTTTCAGAGTATACAATTATGGCATCTGCAAATAGAGATAATTTGACTTACTCTTTTCCTATTTGAATACCCTTTATCTCTTTCTCTTGCCTGATTGCCCTGGCCGGAACTTCCAATACCATGTTGAATAGGAGTGGTGAGAGAGGGCATCCTTGTCTTGTGTTAGTTTTCAAAGGGAATGCTTCCAGCTTTTGCCCATTCAGTATGATATTGGCTGTGGGTTTGTCATAAATAGCTTTTATTATTTATACGTTCCATCAGTATCTAGTTTATCGTTTTTAGCATGAGGGTTGTTGAATTTTATTAAAGGCTTTTTCTGCATCTATCGAGATAATCATGTGGTTTTGTCACTGGTTCTTCTTATGTGATGGATTACATTTATTGATTTGCATACGTTGAACTAGCCTTGCATCCCAAGGATGAAGCAGACTTGATCGTGATGGATAAGCTTTTTAATGTGCTACTGAATTTGCTTTGACAATATTTTATTGAGGATTTTTGCATTGATGTTAATCATGGATAATGGCCTGAAATTTTGTTTTTTTGTTGTGTCTCTGCCAGGTTTTGGTATCAGGATGATGGTGGCCTCCAAATGAGTTAGGGAGGAGTCCCTCTTTTTCTATCATTTGGAATAGTTTCAGGTGGAATGGTACCAGCCCCTCTTTGTACCTCTGCTAGAATTCGGCTGTGAATCCGCTGATCCTGGGCTTTTCTTGGATGGCAAGCTATTGATTACTGCCTCAATTCTGCAACTCGTTGTTGGTCTAATGAGGGATTTGACTTCTCTTTTGATTAGCCTTGGAAGTGTGTATGTGTCCAGAAATTTATCTATTTCTTCTAGATTTTCTAGTTTATTTCTGTAGAGGTGTTTATGGTACCTCTACCATTCTCTGATGGTAGTTTGTATTTCTGTAGGATAAGTGTTGATCTTTTTTTTTTTTTTTTTGAGATGTAGTCTCACTCCATCGCCCAGGCTGGAGTGCAGTGGCGTGATCTCGGCTCACTGCAACCTCCACCTCCCAGATTGAAGCAATTCTGTGTCTCAGCCTCCTGATTAGCTGGGATTACAGGTGCCTGCCAGCATACCCAGCTAATTTTTGTATTTTTCGTAGACATGGGGTTTCACTATGTTGGCCAGGCTGGTCTTGAACACCTGACCTCATGATCCACCTGCCTTAGCCTCCCAAAGTGCTAGGATTACAGGCCTGAGCCACTACACCTGGCTGATCTCCCCTTTATTATTTTTTAATGTCTTTTTTTCTTCTTCTCTGTTTTCTTCTTTATTAGTCTGGTTAGTGGTCTGTTTTGTTAATCTTTTCAGAAAACGAGCTCCTGAGTTCATTGATTTTTTTGGGGGGGGAGGGCTTGTGTCTCTATCTCCTTCGGTTCTGCTCTTAATCTTGGTTATTTCTTGTCTTCTGCTAGCTTTTGATTTTGTTTGCCCTTGTTTCTCTACTTCTTTTAAATGTGATGTTCAGGAGTCAATTTTAGATCTTTCCCACTGTCTCCTGTGGCATTTAATGCTATAAATGTCCCTCTAGACACTGCTTTAGCTGTGTCCCAGAGATTCTAGTACATTGTGTCTTTGTTCTCATTAGTTTCAAATAACTTATTATTTCTGCCTTAATTTTGTTATTTACCCAGTAGTCATTCAGGAGCAGGTTGTTCAGTTTCCATGTAGTTGTGTAGTTTTGAGTGAGTTTCTTAATCCTGAGTTTTAATTTGATTGCACTGTGGTCTGAGAGACTATCTGTTATGATTTCTGTTATTTTGCATTTGCTGAGGAGTGTTTTACTTCCAATTATGTGGTTGATTTTAGAATAAGTGGTGCTGTGTGGTGCTGAGAAGAATGTTGATTTGGTGTGGAGAGTTTTGCAGATGTCTTTTAAGGTCTGCTTGGTAGAGAGCTCAGTTCATTTTTCAATATCCTTGTTAATTTTCTGTCTCATTGATCTATTATTGACAGTGGGTTGTTAAAATCTCTCACTATTATTGTGTGAGAATCTAAGTCTCTTTGTAGGTCTCTAAGCACTTGCTTTTTGAATCTGGGTGCTCCTATATTTGGTGCATATTTAGGATAGTTAGCTCTTCCTGTTGCATTGACCCCTTTACAATTATGTAATGCCCTTCTCTTTTTTGATCTTTGTTGGTTTAAAGTCTGTTTTATCAGAGACTAGGAGTGCAACCCCTGCTGTTTTTTGCTCTGCATTTGCTTGGTAAATCTTCCTGTGTCCCTTTATTTTGAGCCTGTGTGTGATTTTGCATGTGAAATAGGTCTTCTGAATACAGTACATCGATGGGTCTTGAATTTTTATCCAATTTGCCAGTCTGTGTCTTTTAATTAGGGCATTTAGCCCATTACATTTAAGGTTAGTATTGTTATGTGTGACTTTGATGCTGTCATGATGCTAGCTGGTTATTTTGCCCGTTAGTTGATGCAGTTTCTTCATAGTGTTGATGATCTTTACATTTTGGGTTGTTTTTGCAGTGGCTGGTACCAGTTGTTCCTTTCCATATTTAGTGTTTCCTTCGGGAGTTCTTATAAGGCAGGCCTGGTGGGACAAACTCCCTCAGCATTTGCTTGTCTATAAAGGTTTATTTCTCCTTCACTTATAAAGCTCAGTTTGGCTGGATATGAAATTCTGGGTTGAAAATTCTTTTTTTTAAGAATGTTGCATATTGGCTCCACTCTCTTCCAGCTTGTAGGGTTTCTGCAGAGAGGTAACACTATTAGTCTGATGAGCCTCCCTTTGTGGGTAACCTGACTGTTCGTTCTCTCTGGCTGCCCCAAACATTTTTCCCTTCATTTCAACCTTGGTGAATCTGACGATTTTGTGTCTTGGAGTTACTCTTCTTGAGGAGTATCTTTGTTGTATTCTCTGTATTTTCTGAATTTGAATGTTGGCCTGTCTTGCTAGGTTGGGGAAGTTCTCCTGGATAATATCCTGAAGTGTGTATTCCAACTTGGTTCCATTCTCCCTATCACTCTGAGGTACACAAGTCAAACGTAGGTTTGGCCTTTTCACATAGTCCCATATTTCTTGGAGGCTTTGTTCATTCTTTTTTCTCTAATCTTGTATTCATACTTTATTTCATAAAGTTGATCTTCAATCTCTCATATCCTTTCTTCCACTTGATCAGTTTGTCTATTGATAGTTTTGTATGCTTCATGAATTCTCATGCTGTGTTTTCCACTCCATCAGGTCATTTATGTTCTTTTCTAAACTGGTTATTCTAGTTAGCAATTCCTCTAACCTTTTATCAAGGTTCTTAGCTTCCTTGCTTTCAGAACATGCTCTTTTAGCTTGGAGAAATTTGTTATTACCCACCCTCTGAAGCCTACTTATGTCAATTCATCAAACTAATTCTCCATCCAGTTTTGTTCCCTTGCTGGCAAGGAGTTTTGATCCTTTGGAGAAGAGGCATTCTGGTTTTTGGCATTTTCAGCCTTTTTGTGCAGGTTTTTCCTCATCTTCATGGATTTATCTACCTTTGGTCTTTGCTGTTGGTGACCTTCAGATGGAGTTTTTGCCTGGTCATCCTTTTTGTTAATGTTGATACTATTTTTTCTGTTTGTTTTCCTTCTAACAGGAAGGAAAACTCTTCTGCAGGTCTGCTGGTGTTTCCTGGGGATCCCCTCCAGACTTTATTTGCCTGGGTATCACCAGCGGAGGCTGCAGAACAGCAAAGATTGCTGCCTGCTCCTTCCTCTAGAAGCTAGTCCCAGAGAGGCACCTGCCAGTTGCCAGCTGGAACTCTCCTGTATAAGGTGTCTGTCAATCCCTGCTGGGAGGTGTCTCCCTGTCAGGATCACGGGCGTCAGGGACCTACTTGAGGAGGCAGTCTGTCCCAAGCACTGTGCTGGGAGATCCACTGCTCTCTTCAGAGCTGGCAGGCAGGAACATTTAAGTCTGCAGAAACTGTGTCTACAGCCACCCCTTCCCCCAGGTTCTCTGTCCCAGGAATATGGGAATTTCATCTATAAGACCCTGACTGGGGCTGCTGCCTTTCTTTTAGAGATGCCCTGCCTAGAGAGGAAGAATCTAGAGAGGCAGTCTGGCTATAGTGGCTTTGTGGCACTGGGATGGGTTCTGCCCAGTTGGAACTTCCTAGCGGCTTTGTTTACACTTTGAGGGGAAAACTGCCTACTGAAGCCTCAGTAATGGCATATGTCCCTCCCTGCACCAAGCTTGAGTGTCCCAGGTCGACTTCAGACTGCTGTGCTGGCAGCGAGAATTTCAAGCTAATGGTTCTTAGCTGGGTGGGTTCCGTGGGAGTGGGATTTGCTGAGCTAGAACACTTGGCTCCCTGACATCAACCCCCTTTCCAGGGGAGTGAAGGGTTCTGTCTCACTGGCGTTTCAGGAACCAATGGGGTATGGGAAAAAAACACTGCAGCTAACTCATTGTCTGCCTGAACAGCTGCCCAGTTTTGTTCTTGAAACCCAGGGTCCTGGAGGAATAGGCACCCAAAGGGATCTCCTGGTCTGTGGGTTGTAAAGACCATGGGAAAAGCATAGTATCTGGGCTGGATAGTTCTGTCCCTCACAGCAGGGTCCCTTTTGGCTTCCCCTGGCTAGAGGAGGGAGTTCCCCAACCCCTTGTGCCTCTTGGGTGAAGTGACACCCCACCTAGCTTCTGCTCACCCTCCGTGGGCTGCACCCACTGTCTAACCAGTACCAGTGAGGTGAACCTCAGTTAGAAATGCAGAAATCACCCGCCTTCTACATTGATCTCGCTGGAAGCTGCAGACCAGAACTGTTTCTCTTTGACCATCTTGCCTGGGAGCCCATACAGGCAAATCTTAATTGGAAGATAATGTAAAGGGATACAAATCTGTCATCTTAAATCTTAGGGTTTTTTTTAATTGTTTTCTTTCTAGATTTTCTGGAAACATGAACTGCTGAGAGAGGAATGGGACACTAAACACTGTTTTGTATTTATGGTTTGCAAACTGGTATTTCATCAGCAGCTAAATTCACAGATATTCTATATAGATTGTATAGAGAACTGAGACTGATTTTGTGTAGATTGGAATCATTGCTATGATCTTTACTTTGAGAAATTTTTCTGCACTATTTGCACTGAAATGTTTATTTATTGTTGATAAATCCCATCATATTTAAGTTCCACTGCTGTTCCTCTTCTATTGATTAAATGCCTATGCATGTAATTTTAGCTAGTTTTTAATATTTTATAAAACTTCATTTAAATTGGTATTTTTAACTTGAAGCTGCATTTCTTTATCAAGAATGGTATTTAGATTTTTTTTCTCTTAACCTTTTTTGAAAAACTATTTTCAACTATAAGAAAACTCTTATTTTTCTTTCTTTCTGGATAAAACTTTCAAAAGCAATTTGTTTTTAAAATATTCATATTATTAGGAAACACCAAACCTGCCTATGTGCCATCTTAAAAAAGTAACTTTTAATACCTACAATAAATCAAAAGAATAAACCAGCTATTCTTATATATTAATTTTTTTAAACTAAAGATGCATTTAAGAAGCAATACAAGTAAATACCTAGTAGAAAAAAAAATTGCCTTTCATTTAAAGCAGTCCAACACAAACTCTCATGCTAATTTTTAAAAAATAAGTATTTAGTAGGTTTCTGTTCGGATAGGTTTTCTAAATTCCTAATGTTTAAAACAGTCTTTATGTTAATATACAGCTAATCTATACACAAAAAAAGTCAGTGAACTTTTCTGACCTTTACTGTGAGTTACTTTTCCTAAGAGAAAAGCTATAGTAATAATTAAAATTGAACTTTTAGGTAATCCTGATTTTTAATGAATTTAAGCGTTCTCTTGTACTATTTTCAGTAATTTGCTTCTACACCATGTCACAAAATTAACATATTTCTTGGGTACCCCTAAAAGCTTATGAAGGAAAAAGGCATGCAGGCTTGGTAAGGTACCATCTAAATTAAAAAACAAACTAATGCATAATTTCCTTTAAATTTCATCCCAGTATGATTGTCTTTCCAACACCAGCATACAATATAGATATTGTCTTTTTAAAATTTTTTGTTCTTCCTATCCATGTTTTTGGCAACAAAGTTATAGGAGAAACAAAATTATTTTGTTAGAATTGAAACATGCTTAATAGTCTGTGGAAAGCAAGTAGTCACATGGACTATAGAGATACAATGTTGGACACAGAACATAACTTGGATTGTCTCCCTAGCATTGTGCTAAGGGCATGCTATTAAACCTTCAAAATAACCAGATGAGGAGGGAATAATTACTACTCCTGATTTATGGAACTGAGGTAAGAGTGTTTCAAATTTATGATAGTCTTGGATATTCAAAATCCTTTCCTTACTGTACTGGCAACTAGAGCTTAATTTTGTCAGCAATTACTGCAATAGAAGATACAATAGTCTCAATATTTTGCAAACAATCAGGTTCACAAGAACCAGGTGCATCCCTTAACAAGAGAGGAGCATACCACAGCCCTTCATTTGATTAATTCATTAGATCTACCTATTTTATTAAGCACCTACTAAGAATAAGGCATTGTGGAAATACCATGCAAAGATAAAAATTGTTTAGGTGCTTATCTACTTTCCTTTCCACCAGAGAAACAAAATCAAAACATTTTCTTATAGAGTAAATCTCTTCTACATAATTACATGCGTAGTTCACCTCAGTGTTTTTTATTCTTTAATCTTGAACTATCCCAGTTTCATTGTATACCAGTTAACATGGGTTAGGTTCTCCTTCAAAATTCGTTAGATAACCTTCTTACGACCCAGTCATTAACAGTTATTTGCATCTAATACACAGTTCGGATAAAGGTTATATATGTCACCCAGTATGAAAAGAATCTGCATTTGAATATACCTGTATGAATGTGGGTTCTGTTTTTGCAACAGAAATTAAGTGACCATTTTTTTCTGATTTTATGGCTATATATTTTCTTCATAAAAATTGGCCATATTGGAGAAGCAGTGCCAGCAGAAAAATGAAATGCATGTCAAAGTTGCTATTCTGGTTTTACTTTATAAGACAAGATAGAAATCAGAATTATAGAGGAATACTTAAGAGTTATTAATCAGGAGTTTGTCATAAGTAGAGATTTAAAGGTTAATATTTATTTCAAAATAGAAGAAAATTCTAAATCAATGAGATATAAACTAAAGACAACCACTTCAAAGTTGAAAGAAATTTCTAGGCATAAGACTAGGAAATTTATATCAGAATAGAGGGTGCTTGACACAGATAGATTTATATGTGCTTAAATTGAAGGATGGCTCAGATTCATTTTTAGGAGAAAGTAATCATGTGCTCTTAAAGAATAAAAATTTATTCTAGGCTTTCCCTCTCAGATCTTCACCTTCCATTATTCTATAAAAAGTTCAGTTACTGATTTGCTGGGTCATGGTTAAAATTCTTACCTGTTTCATATCAAACTGAAAGAATATATCACCTGAGCTGTGAGTATTACTAATTGGGAAGTAATATGCCTCAAATCAACTTTATATTGGTTTATTCCCTATGCTTTAAACCACTGTTCTCAATAAAACACTTCCTGATTAATGTTTGATTTTAAATGAAAATGCAGTATTAGATATTTTAGTCTTGTTGGATTAGCCATGCTCTTTGAAGAATCTGTGAAAGTAAAGTTTTAATAAGCAATAAATGTAATCTTTTATATAAATCTCAGTGCTAGGTTAACTTCTAATAAGTAGATGAATGTGCTACATAAATTATGTCTTGTAAAGTTGAGGGAACTAAAAGTTTATGACTCCGATGTGGAAGATGTCACATTAAAAAACTACATTTTAAAACATCAAATATTTATACTATTTGCTTTTCAAATAAATGCATAGTGCTTTTTGGCATACTTTTGTCATTTTTAAAAAAATTTTTATTGTTTTTATAGACATACATTGCCAAATGGAAGAAATTAAAGCCACATCCTCAATATTAGGCAACAAAGTTTCTAAGAGTGGACAGCTACAAGAATGGTGTGAAGTGAGTTCTATTATAAAAAGGTGAAAGCCATCACCACTATATCCTAAGTATTTATCATTTTAGCAAGGTATTCCCTGTTACATACAGTATATTGCAGAAAATGAATAAACATTCCTTGGACTTAATTTGGGAACTGCTCAGCAGAGAATGCTCAAATTTTATATTGTAAAAGAATTACACTTGCTTTATTTTTTACATTAACAGTACTTTTATATCACAGTTCTCTAATATATTCTATTTTTAAATATGATGAGCACAATTACATTTTTTCATTTATATATATTGCCACACTTCTTCCAATCTTTCATACTAGAGAGATCAGCAATGTTGCTTTCTTGCCCTTTCTCTTGACTTTAATTTCAGCAAAATGTAATACATTCTCCCATAAAAAATTACATATTCAAAATGATGTAAATTATAAAGTTTAAATTAATCCTTTTACATTCTAGAATGTACTAATATATTAAAACCATACAGTGTGAGTATCACTTATATGGCAACTTTTCTCCATTAAGTTTCATTTAGGTTACCTAGTGAAGTCTTTTTTTTTACTCCTAAGACAGGAGTGACTCTCCCTCAAATGTGCCTTTTAACAAAACAAAAACTCAAAACTTTCAACAGTCAGTGGTCATGAGATGTTGCTAATGTTAAGTAAACCATATTAGCCAGTTATATAATTTCTAAAATGATAGATTACAAAACCTATTCCCTTCATTAAACAGACTTGACAGCCAAATTCTCTGGTTCTTAACAGGATTTTCCCTCACAGATGTTTTACCCTACTAACTTTATAATGTTATACTTTGAGATCAGGCTGGTGGTTGGCTCACACTTTCGTCTCTAGAATAGTAGTAAAAGGTTGTTATTACCAAAAAACTAAAATTCACATATAAGACCAGGAGAATGAATGTTGCCTCTACCTTGTTAGGAATATATTAAATCATTGTTAGAGAAAAAGTGTGATATAAATTTTAGCATTTTTAAATAATGAGGAGAAACAGACTATAGATCTCAGAGAAAGGCAACAAAATTATTCTAACAATTCAAAATATATTATCTAAGGAAAAGTTAAAGTGATGATTATTCCTGATAAACTTAAACACTTAAAAGCTCCTTAGGAGTATATCTATTAACCAAAAAGGATGCATCTCAACAATGTGCCTGTTTTTAGAAATACGGATTAAGAGAGTCAGAAAGGAAGATAATGTCAGATACTTTCGAAAACACAAAATATGCGTCTGGAAGTGAGCTAAAAGATTAATGATAATCACAGATACGAGGGAAAGGAGTTGAGGCTTTTTAAGAGATGCATGCTATGACAAGGAAGATATATATTGATAACTTTAGGTAATAACAGAAGTAATTGCTCTATAGTGAATATAATTTTCATAGTCTAGGATGAGCTTCAAAATGGTGAATAATTTTCCTTATATTTGATAAACGAAATGACTACGTCCTCTTCAGTGTCTAAGAAATCAAGAGCTGGGCACTTGTTTCCCTTTTCATAGCTGCATTAAATTAGTTCTCAATGACATGTACCATTTCTTGTTTTTATGATAAACTGCCTGTGTTCCCTTATTTTTTTAAGTGTTGCTTGTGTGTCCTTTACTTTGGAACTCCAAAGGGAAACTTCAGGCAGTGAGAAACACAGCTTCATCAGAATCTCGGTCCTTGCCACTATCTTCACTCGGTGCATGCTCACCACCACTTGGAGACCGACAGCTCAGATCCTCCACCCCAGACTCTTGGTCACTGTTGGCTGACAGATCTGGATCTGAGCTTTTCAAATTGTCTTGGGTTAGAATCAGAGCAGAATCTTCATCACCTTGCGAAGGGCTCCGGGATGGAAATGATTTCATATTCCCACTGTAATCCTGGGGAGTGTTGGCTATGCTGTTGTCTGAGGCAGAAAACCCTGAGTGCTTGCTGGGTTCACTTTGCTTACTCTTCACCTTAGTGCAATTTAACTGGACCTTTTGAATTTTTTCCAGCCTCTAAGAAAGAAATAACAATTTCAGCAGAAATACAATAAATAATTTTTTTATTTTATTTATTTTCCTCTATATGCATGCTTTCAACATGTTACCTTCCAGGTGGGTATAATGTTAAGAACATGGGACTCATAGATGTGAGCTCAGACCTGGACTTGATGACCTTGGGCAAAATCTGTGAGGCCTGCTTTCTTTATCTCTAATGTAAGGATGATACTACCTGCCTTGACATAGGTTTTCTATAATTATAAACAATATAGCACAGGCGAAGCACCCTGTGATCACTAGTTTCCCTCCTTTCTATACCTACATGGTTTCATATGATTCTCATACCATGAATTCAAAAAATATTTTTTAAAAATCAGGAATGAAGTGTCTATCATCTAACTTTTAAATTTAGATACAATTCTCTTACCATGAAGTTCACCCTCTTAAAATATACAATGCAGTGGTTTTTAGTTATATTCACAAGGTTGTGCAACGATCACTGCTAATTCTAAAATACTGTCATCATCCCTCCCTGCCCCCCGCCACCGCCAAAAGAAAGCCCCATACTTATTAACAGTCATTCCCCATTCCTATCTCCCCACAGCCCCTGGCTACTACTCATCGACTTTCTATCTCTATGAATTTGCCTAGTCCAGATGTTTTATATATATGGAATAATACAACATGTGGCTTTTGGTGTCTGGCTTCTTTCACTTAGCGTATATTCTCAAAGTTCTTTCATGGTGTAGCATGTATGAGTACTTCATTCCTTTTTCTGGCTAAATAGTATTCCATTACATGGATATACCACATTTTGTTTCTCCATTCATCATGTCATAGACACTTGGGTTGTTCAGAATGCATTTCACCAGATTGCATGGTTTTTTTTTTTTTTTTGAGACAGAGTTTCGCTCTTGTTACCTAGACTGGAGTGCAATGGCGCGATCTCTGCTCACCGCAACCTCCGCCTCCTGGGTTCAGGCAATTCTCCTGCCTCAGCCTCCTGAGTAGCTGGGATTACAGGCACGCGCCACCATGCCCAGCTAATTTTTTGTAGTTTTAGTAGAGACGGGGTTTCACCATGTTGACCAGGATGGTCTCGATCGCTTGACCTCGTGATCCACCCGCCTCGGCCTCCCAAAGTGCTGGGATTACAGGCGTGAGCCACCGCACCCGGCCAGATTGCATGTTTTGATGTTAGCAGAAGAGGTGTTTTAAGGTCAGGTATTATGTATTCATTCAAAAAGCATTCATTTAGATTATGTGCAAAAGCACTGTGCTGGGCAGTGTGAGGAAAAGAGAGAAATACAGACCCAGCCCTCTAAGGAACGTGGAGTAGTGGAGCAGAGAGAGGCAGAGTTCATGCAATGTAGGAATCTTAAAATGGCAAAAGTTCTTGAAGAGGAATGGAGAGGTAAGGTTAGAAGGAAGAGAACAGAGTAAATTTCAGGTAGCAAGGAACATTTTAACAGGACTGTAAAAGATTTAAATGTGAACATTCTGGTGATGGCTAGTAAGTATTCCTGTCAGGAGGGACAGTGAGAGGAAAAACACAAAGGTAGGAAGGTCTAAAAATTGTGTATAAGCAGCAGAAACAGTTAAATGTTTGCATGGAAAATAAAGTTGAAAAGACAAAATCTCAAATGCTAGCCCACGAAATTCTAATTTTGTAATAAGAAAGAGTCACTTTTAAAATTAAGGTACTTTTAGATATTCTAAGTAATTTTAAAAATTATTTCAACAAAAAGACTGCTGGAATAGACTAATAGAATCCTAAGATTTCATAAACTACAGTATGGTACCAGTGGAAACAAAGTTATCCAATTAGGAAAAACATTTTATTATAACCTCCCTATCCAAGTACAGGGAAGTTATAGAAGCCAAAGGATAGACTTCATAATCAATCTCACCTATTATAGATCAATATGATAGTTACATAATTTTTTAAAGTGAAGGAAGATTTTTACAAGTACATATATTTAATTTTATTCATTTTCACACATTTCCACAAAGAATTAATTTTAGTACTCTCAAATAATAGTAACCAAAAAGCTGACCTAAAATAAGGAACAACCAACTAGTTTAGCAAATTGTGGAACTGAACCACAAGCCCAATGTCCGAAATGCATTAAATGCCTAGGTTTAGGCTTTGGTTATCTGAGTACTCACCTGGATGGGCTTGTGTTTCAGGTTCTCTACTGGCTAAAAATGCAAAATGGTTGTGTTGCACTGAATCTTAAGAGGCTTTCATGAAGTCATGCTCTTTAAGAAATAAGTACAGACAACAGATTAACAAAGCAAGTATGTCTTACCTCTTCCAAGTCCTGTAGTTCTTCCTCCAGCTGCTGAGTTTCCTCCTTCACTGCCATCAGGTAATCTGTAACTGATTGTCGGGGCTGCATCCCCTTTTCAAAGCGGTTATACATTCCACTCCAAAACCTGGAAAGGACAGCAGAGTGTCATGATACCACCTTATCACAATATGAAAATTCACACCCTCAAGTCTTCTAAGGTATCTGTGATACCACAGTCTTATTAATAACCAAAGGCAAATTTCAGCCTCAAAAAAGCCACTACCTAAGGGAATAATTTTGTGTTGATGGTTTTTTTCCTTGGGTCAATAAATGCCTTTTGTGGAGAATAAGTTTATGAAAAGTCTACTTGTATATATGAATTAGAAAATACATTTTTCTAAAATTGAAATAGCACATGTAACCATTTTCTTTTAAGAAAATGGCTTAGTTTTGAACTTTCAAAATTAGTGATTTTATATTTAGAATCTTTCAGTTACAAAGGGAATCTTAAAGTTGCAACTTTTCTCTTTTGTTTATCACTACCACTAAACACTAAAAGTTGACATTTGCATTTGCAATAAATTATTTTAAAGA